ACTGCAGAGAGGTCTTGTGTCACTATAGCTACAGCCTCTGTGATCACCAAGTCTTTACCTTGAGTTTAACATTAAAAGCAACTTACTGGGTGCGGTGACACAAGAAGTGGTACCAGTGCCAAACAATGGGGTGAGGTATGTTTACTTTGTAAAAAGAGGTCAGTAGTAATATTAATTTAAACTAAAATATGTTCTACAAAGAATTTTGCAAATTATTTTCTTTACACCAGTATGCTCATATAAATGGTCCAAATCATCATATTCTCTTCGATTAAATTATTAAATTGAATGATGGGCCAGTTTATAGATGAATAGCACTAGTTTTTTTTTTTTTTTATTCAAACAAAACGGTAAGCACAGTTAATGTCTTTTGCCAATGCAGTCAATATATGGCCAATACTGAGATCACTTAACTGGGTTAACATGATTAACTAAACTTCTAGAACAAGTTTTGTTGAAGGAAAGGCTCTAGGCCAGGATTTTAAATTGTAGAAAAAGGAGGATAGCAGCTAGCTTACCTTGAAAGTGTGAGTAGGCCATATAACAAGTAGAAAAAGAATGTGTGCACAGTGTTTTTTTACTTCTTCTATGGCCTACCCACAATTTCAAAGTAAGCTAGCTGCTATCCTCCTTTTTCTACAATTTAAACTTGTAGAATAAGTCAGAGTTTATTTGCTGATATGAACACTATTTTATTTCACATTTGCTTATTTTGGTAATCACACACTTTAAATTAATGCTTGTGATATTTGTCAAACAAATATTTTAATACGGAGTAGGCCTAACAAGGTCAAAATAGAGTTTCTAATTTTCAAAGGTAGACAGACAGGTAATATTTAAAAGACAAAGTACAATTTAAAAATGTTTATTGACAAAACTGTTCTGTAACATGAGGTCAAAAACTTCAAGATATAACAGGTATAGTTTTCATGTCAGTTCTAATGTACGGTACTGAGATATGTGCCTGAGACAAAAACATGTACTGTACATAGAATGTTCCAAAATGTTTTATTCGCATAAAAACCAAGGCCTGGACACAAATTCAATTTATTTATTGAAACGTACCCCTAAAAAATCTTATAATTTATGTTAATTGATATTTACTGTTTTTGAACCAAAAATAACGATCTGAAATGCAACAGTAATTAATCACATGAAGAGCTCCGGATCCGCCTCAACAGCTCAGATCACAAGCTCACGTTCTGTTCTACTGCTGACTGTTCCATGTCTCAACAACATAAAAAAAGTTAATTCATGTCAAGTGTCTGTTCCCTAAAACACCAAACAAAGTTATATACAAAGAAAATATGATGGTCTAATCTGATTGAAATTTGATTATTGGTTATTTGTATGCCTACAAACCATCAGACAGTTACTCCTCAAATCAATGCAGGGCCATACCGTGGTCAGAACAACAAAACGGGTTAGATAATGGAGTTTAACACAAGTAATAAGGGAGCTAAATATATGGGTCAGAATATATACCCCGCCGCAGCAAACCTGCAGACTAAGCGAATTTCAATTTGTCTGATTACATTTTAACTAAAATATTTCCATAAATAAGACGTATTTATTCCCAATTTCAATAACATTACATGTAACGAGTGGTTAGGTTTGGTCCTACGGGGAAGGTAAAAACTAAAAAGTGTTTTTCGACGAAAGGTTAATAGCATAGGATGAAATAAATAAATTTGCCACATTTGATCAACCAAAATAAATCCATAAACAAGTAAACTACAATAGTTTTCATTTACTCCATAAGAATAACATGGGAATTTAAAATTTACACTTTTTTTAATTTTCTCTGTAATCGTGAGGCATACTTCAGCGCTTCAACTAAATTATTTATTTTTTTAAGCTTTACTAAATGGTTTAGAAAGAAATTTCAAAATGTTATGTTTATGGTCAAAAATGAAAAAAACCCATTTCTATCCCATAAAACCCCCCATAATTCCCCGTTCCTATGGTCCGATCATGCTGGTACGCGAACTTGTTAGAATAAATGTAGGTTTACATGTAAATACCCCTGCCGCAGCAAACCTGCAGACTAAGCGAATTTCCATTTGCCTGATTGGTCTTACACTAAAATGTCTCCTTAAAAATATCACATTAATTCCCTATTTAAATAACATTAGTTTAACGAGTACTTAGGTTTGCTGCAACAGGTAAAAAGGTGTTTTTTTTTTTGTAAAATGTTAATAGTTTAAAAATAGTAAGAAATAAATGCATTTTCCAAATTTGATCAAAATATGTTCATAAACAAGCAAACTACAACAGTTTACTTCTCCATAAGAATAACATTGGAATTTTAAATTTACAATTTTTTTGAATTTTCTCCGTAACCTTTAGGCACATAATAACACTTCAATATACTAATTTTTTTTAAGTTCTACAAAATGGTTTGGAAATAAATTTTATGTTTTTTTGGTCAAAAATGGGATAAACCAATTTTTCCCCCATAAACCCCCGTCCCCATAGTCCGATCATGCTGGTTCACGAACGCGTTCAAATAAATGTAGGTTCACAGGTTTTTACCAAATTTCATTCAAATTGGACGATTTTTTCTTAAGTCATTGTGCTAACGTAGGCTACACATATATAAATATAATATACATCGTACTAATATTATAAATGTGAAAGCTTGTGTGTTTGTTTGAAGTTCAATCACGCATTTAATTTAACTGATGGACGGATTGGGCTGAAATTCGGCATGATGATAGCTCACATTCCCGATTAACATATAGTAGAGATGTGCGAGCACAGGTTTTTCAGGTCGAGTCGAGTTCGAGTCGAGTAATTGGCAAAAGATTCGAGTCTCGAGTTCGAGTCGAGTTTAAACCCAAAAGATCGAAGAATGTGTAAGTTTAAGTAACTCCTTAGGCCTAGAGCATGTAACTGTTAAAACAACCTTGTTACAAGCTGAAATATGATTATAAATAAATAAATTATTAATATTTGTGCAGTAACATATCAATATAATGCATAGAAAATAATTTTAAAACAACAACAATAGAGCTCATAAATGAACTTCTACTTCTGTAAAAAAAGGTAAGTGAGCATACATTTTTTTATCCAAAAATAAAATACAATAATCCCTATTGATAAGTAATATTGCATAATACTTGGCTAAAATTACTTAATACTTGCATCTATTAGTTATTAAGGTTGCAATTACAATAGCCTAATAAGTTCAATAAAGAGATTTATTCTAAAACTTGAAATGTTATTTCCTACCTTTTCACCTTTAGTTTTGTAAGTTTATTACCATTATTCTTTTAGTTGGTGTGGTTTTTGTAACAGTAGGCCTACAAAATTTCCAATGGTTTGACAGTGGGTAAAGTAAAAATAAATTTTGAAATAAAGAAAATTAAATTTTTTAATCTTGTATGTTAATTGTAAACAAACATTCTGTCAAAATACTCAAAATATGTTAAAAATGAAGTACAAATAGGCCTACAAGTAGTCTACCTTACTGATAAACAAAACAATTGTAGATTGAAAATTGTACTGAATAATGTAATAGGCTCATACAATAGTAGTTATAGAAATCAAATGAAACCTAGACTTAGGCCTAACTCACTATAATCAATTGTATTCCATGCACATTAACCACATTAATGCAAGTTGTCATGAAGGAAAACAAACTATGTAATCTAGAAGGCCAAGTGCTAGCACTTAATTATTTTGAGATATTTGTAAGCTTTTTTTAGGAGTGCTACTATTGTCCTCATGAATGATTTCATACTTATTTATGAGTTATCTAATGTTTTACAAGTTTACAGAATAATTATTTTCAACCACGGTAGCATCAATTTATAATTATCAACTTCTGTTAAGAAGGCCAATGACCCAAAACATCATGATTGTGCAATGTTGTATTTTGACATAAAAATGTAAATCATGGTATTAACTCTAATTTGAATATTTCTCCTGGTCCCTTGCAGATTGTATTTTCAATGCTAAATAATTAATTGTGGTCAATTCAAATTATATTTTTGATGATTCAAATCTCCTATACAAAAAGACAAAAGTCAAACCAGACAAGGAAAAAACCTGCTATTGTAATCCCCCTGCCCCTACCCAGCCATTTCGGAAGTGGTGAAAGTCTAGTCTGGTCTAAATATAGCTCCAAGGTCTTACCCTCCCCTTCCCCCCAACCCCCTACACCATTCACTGTTGCCGACTTGCCGGCTGCCGGGCTGCCGGCTCAGTTCGAGGTCATTGCACAACCCCTCCCTCCTTCTATTGTTTTGCCTTTTGTAGTGTTTCTATTCTTTTTAAAACTTAACTGACTTTTTTAAACATAGATTTATTGCTTGTAACAGTTCAGTAGTGGAATTTTCTATTGTGAAACAGTACTTTAAAACAAAATCACTACCGATCATGTCATTCAGTGTCAAGTCCAGATTATGCCATTGCCAGTCAGTCCGGCGACTGCTTTGAGTTGACCTATTCTGTTGTGACAGCTATAAAAATAGGTTAGGACAACTACCTCTTGCTTATTTCTACACTGTAGAAATATTTGTATTACTGTAGAATCTATAGTAATACAAATTATAAAGCATTTTATGTAAACACAACTTACATTTTAACAAATATTGATTTTTTACAATTTTAAACCAAACTCTACTCGAATCTGCCGAGTTCAAAGATAAGCTCGAGTTTCAAGGCCGTACTCGACTCGAACTCGTAATCTCGAGTACTCGCACATCTCTAACATATAGGCATATTCCTATCTCAAAAATCCTTTGGGCTCCGCCCCAGTGGCTCTGTGGTTCCCCATGTTAACCTTATGAGTAGCAGAAACACAACAGGTGAGATGTAATCGGATATTCGGAGAAGACAGTTGCCTCGAGATTGAGGTCAAAATGTATTTACCAGAGCCAAGGACTGTGAAATGTATGCTATGCAAAATCTACAACCAATTAATTAGGACAATGGAAATAAATAATCATTCCGATTGCAAACGGTTGAAAATGAAATATAAAATAAATACTTACTAGAGGTGGAATTTCTTGAGGAGACATCTTGTTAAAATAACTACACAATTTGTTTACTACTTGTAGATGTTCTTCCTCACTGAGCTCCACATCTCTGAAATAAGATTAGTATGATAAAACCGAGAATTGGGTTAGAACGTGCAAAAATAAAGTTGATGAACTATAAAGTCCATTAAGCTTATGATCAGTTCTAACCAGTGTTGGGGAAGCTACTTTTAAAATGTAGCTAGGCCTAGCTACAACTACTGCTACATTTCCAAAAAAGTAGCTTAGCTACAGCTACAGCTACAGTTCCGAAAAAGTAGCTAGCTACAACTACAGCTACAATGAAATGTAGCTACAGCTACAATTGTAGCTACTTTACAGCTACAGTTCCAAAAAGTAGCTAGCTACAACTACAGCTACAATGAAATGTAGCTACAGCTACAATTTTAGCTACTTTTCCAAAGACGTTACTTTTATTCCACGCACATTAGGTAAATGTAAAATTAATTGCAACTATATAAACCTAACATTACAACAAATAAACCAAAATAAGTTGCATTTCGTTATTTTTAATGTTAAAAACGACATTGATATAACTTTTAACCATGGTAATATGTTACTTGTTCTATGAATAACACTTTTCAATGTCAAGAAATCGTCGTTTGTCATTATGCATAGGTCAAATTGTGCTTAACAAACGTTGGTGCAGAAAAAAATATTCAGCAACTTATCCTGAAATCGGCTTTTAATTTAAACATGTTGAAAATTGTTAAGTAAAACAAACATTTAGGCGTACTTGGCTTTGTAACAAGTTGGCTATAGTAGGCTTGTTCTTACAAGGACTAAACAGATATATTCCTATTAATTGAACTTGGTATTCGTATTAATCCAATAGCATAGCCTAGGAATAGTCCTTGACAAGAGCTGTTAGCAGGAGCAAACTACTGTTTGCTACTTTTTCAATGCAAGTTTCATGTTATATGGAGATTTTTTTGTTACAATTATTATGTATTCTAGGCATATCTTAAATCTCATCAGGAAATTTCCTCTTCGTTCATTTAGTAAACCTTTGAAAAATCTTTGTAATCTAATCAAGGAGGGCTTGTGATGATGAACCACAATTAACAGCTGAAGCAAAGGTTGATAGACCAGCTTTCTCATTATTTTAAGGTTTAGTGTTGGTTTCCATTAAATCCCAAGTTTAAAATAAAATTGCAGGCCCCCAAGTGGTTTTTGGCCTCAAAAAAGTAGGAAAAGTAGGACTTTTTCAGCAAAAAGTAGGACTTTTTACTGAAAAGTAGGACTTAATTTTACATACAAATCAAACTTTTTTGCTGATACAATATATATTAAAAACCAAATAATACTAGCATACACAATAGTTTATCAAATATAATAGTGTATATAAATATACAGGGTGTTTCCAAATTGTCTGGACATATTTTGTGGACTTGTTTCTGGGGCTAAGACAAACATAAAATTCCATATAAGTATGCATGGGTCTAAAATGCCTAAATTTTTGTTGGTCGGTCTGTTTGTGACATTTAAAAATTATTTTATATCTTGGGTATTTTTCAAGATAGAACTTTTAAAAGGTTATAAATGTGTATTTTAGAAGGTGAAAAGAGCTTGCAAAGTTTCGATCCAATATCTCAAGCCGTTTCAATATGGCAGTCATTTAAAATCGTTAATGCCAAATTTCATGAAAACCGTAAATATTTAGAAAATGATTTCCAGGATCAAAAAGATAGAGAATTCAAATCCAAATCAAATGAGACCGTGTTTGTGAAATCGGATGACAAACAACCATAAATAAGTTTTTTTTTCAACATTTGGTTACGCAATTTAATAGCACTACCATACTGTATTCTTATTTGTTATTTTTCAGAGCAGTATGGGTAGTCCTATTAAGTTGCGTAAACAAATTTAGAAAAAAACTGATTTGGTTGTTTGTCATCAGATTTTAAAAAAACAAGGTCTCATTTGATTTGTATTTGAATTCTCTATCTTTTTGATCCAGGAAACTATATTCTAAATATTTACGGTTTCAAATTAAATTTGGCATTAAATATTTTAAATGGCTGCCATATTGAAACGGCTTGAGATATTGGATCAAAATTTTGCAAGCTCTTATCATCTTCTAAAATACACATTTATATCCATTTTAAAAGTTCTATCTTGAAAAATGCCCAAGATATAAAATAATTCTTAAAAATCACAAACAGACCGACAAATTAAAATCTAGGCATTTTAGACCCATACTTATATGGAATTTTATGTTTGTCTTAAGCTGGGTCCTAGGCGCGGAAGCGGAGAGCGGAGAGAGGAACGCGGAGAGCGGAAAAAAAATTAACATGGTGTTCCGCTCCGCTTCTAGGAAAACAGAAACATTAAATTACCTAAGACAAGTGGAGTGCGCTCTCCGCGTTCCTCTCTCCGCTTCCGCGCCTAGGAAAACCCGGCTTTAGCCCAAGAAAGAAGTCCACAAAATATGTCCAGACAATTTGGAAACATAACTAAAATAATTCTATATATAAATTTTAAAATTAAAATCAATAATTAATTATTTTTATTTAAAAAATCTTCAACTAAAAGGCCGGATATAGTTTTAGCTGAGATTGTACACCAAATATTCAGAAGTAACGCACAAGAGAAATTAAAATGTTAAGGAGTCATTATCTACAGTCATCACGAAAAAATATTTAGGACAAGCAGCATTAAATAAAGGATAAAAATAAATATGTTTCCCTAACGTTACCAACCAGCCCTAATTTGTGTTTAAAATGGTGTTGTAAATAAGAAATTTGTTCTTTTTTTTATATTATTTAATATTTCAGAACTAAAATTAATATAAAAGTAAAATGAATTTTTTTGGGTGGAAAACAGAAGCATGAATAGTTATTTAAGTAGGCCTATAAAGTACGGAACTAGATATAATATAAAATTCTAAAAATATATTCCAAAAGTATTTTGAATTAGTTAGATTAGAGCGATCTTAAAAGTAGTAGGAATGTTTGAATTGTAATGAGTAAAAACTATTTGAGCCAGCGAAACTTGGACATTTAAACTTGAACTTAAGCCTTAATTTATTTTGAATACAGTTATGTCAAAAAATCATGTTTAGGCTAATCAGGGAAACACTGGACCGATAAGTGCTAAAGTAAACTACTTTTGAACTAGTATCCCAGGGCTCCCCTGGAGCATTGATTTCCCCTCAGTTTACTTCATTGGGGAATCTAAAAGACATGTCAGAATAGTAAGCACTGATAATAATCACAATTTTTATTTTCTATCACAATAGTATTGCCATGTCTTTGAAAATAAAAATGTTTTCACCCAATAACAATGTTGATAAGATTAACCATACAGATACTACCGGTACTGGAACTTATAAATTAAAATTTAAAATCATTTAACAAATTGTTTTATAAAAAAATTATCTCAGTCAGTCATATTTTTTAGGAAAAAACTTCTCATTGGGAAATATTGATAAGTAAACATTAATAAGTGTAATAAAATATCGCAAAATCGACATAATTTTTATAAAAAAGTAGGAAAGTAGGACAAATGTGTAAAAAGTAGGACTTTTCCTACTTTCCTACTAAAAAGTAGGAAAAGTAGGAAAAGTAGGACGACTTGGAGGCCTGAAATTGATACAAACTAATAGAAACTAAATTGATTACTAATTTCCCTGTCAATCACTTGCAAGCATTCAATAGCTTCTCTTGTCACCAGTAACGTTTTACGTTTAAACGTCGTCTGCATCTAACGATTTTATTTTATCTGACAGTAATCATAGAGTAGCAAATGAAGGAAATGAGAGCCAAAAATGTGGATAACACTCAGATAATGGCCACGCAACGTTGTAATAGGTAATGAAACGACTGTGACCAGCTGTATGAAGCAAAGAAAGTAGGCCTAATTTTCTTGAAAATCTCAGATTGAAAAAGGTTGTTTCACGTAAGGTTGTGATAAAAATCACTATCTCAATCAATGTTAATGTAGCGACAAAAGTTGCTAAAATTCCGCTACAACTACTTTAAAAATGTAGCTAGCTACAGCTAAAGCTACTAAAGCTTACAAGTAGCGTAGCTACAGCTAACGCTACAAAAAAAGTAGCGCGCTACTTCCCAACACTGGTTCTAACTATCGGTACGGTACACGGCTACCAGTAATTTTGCGGTTTCCTCCTCAGAATTGTATTGAAACCATTATTTTTAATTTTAATACATTGACATTGTGGTAAAAATGGATAGTATCTATACTACATTCGTGGTTTTCTTATTTTCTAACAACAATTACTGTCCCACACATTATTAAAACTTTACTTCTAACATGGATTGTCTCAAGAAATAAACAAAGTTAAGATAAAGGCTTCACCTATTTTACTACTAAGTTAAGACCTTGCCTTGATAATAGGGGTCTGCGAGTCAGACCTTATTTGGTTCATTAGATAATTAAACATGGAAAAATGTATTTATGTATATTATTTCATTTTACTATCTTATTTACAGCTTGGGAATTGCCTCAACTACAAGAAAAAATAAAATATTTTTACCAAGACAATCTTTCCCATTTTTATAACTAACTGTTGAAATAACTAAATAGCTAAATTAGTAGCTATAGAATAGTAGTACAATAGTAGTTATAGAAATCAAATGAAACCTAGACTGAGGCAAGGCCACACTAAAAAAACAGGCCGTAATGCTCGTCTAGCATGACGTCACGATAGAAGACAGCAATGACGTATTTTTGCCGTTTGTGATCAGCTGCTTGTTTTAATCTTTTCATGGAAAACAAAAATATAACCTTAATTACGTCATTGCCGTCTTCTATCGTGACGTCATGATTGACGAGCATTACGGCCTGTTTTTTTACTCACTATAATCAATTGTATTCCATGTACATCCTTGTTAGCAGTGCTACTATTGTCTTTGTCTTTATGAATGATTTTATACTTATTTGCGAGTTATCTAATGTTTTACAAGTTTACAGAATAATTATTTTCAACCACGGGAAGGGAACATCAATCAATAATTATTCAACTTATAACAGATGCGTTATTAAGGTCAATGACCCAAAACATCATGATTGGGCAATGTTGTATTTTGATGCAAGAATGTAAATCATGGCATTAACTCTAATTGGAATAATATTTCTCCTGGTCCCTTGCAGATTGTTTTACCAATGCTAAATAACTGTGTTCAATTCAAATAATATTTTTGATGATTTAAATCTCCTACACAAAAAGACAAAAGTCAAACGAGGCAAGGAAAAAATCTGCTATTGTAATCCCCCTGCCCCTACCCAGCCATTTGGGAAGTAGTGAAAGTCTAGTCTAAATATAGCTCCAAGGTCTCACCCTCCCCTTCTTCCCCCCAACCACTACCCCACTCAACTGTTGCCATGCTGTTGCCGTTGCCATGCCCGGTGCCTCCTCCTTTCAAGGTCATTGCACAACCCCTCCCTCCCTTCTAATGTTTTGCCTTTCTAGTTTTTCTATTCTGAAATTTTTAAACATAGATTTATTGCTTACCTAACAGTTCAGTAGTGGAATGGAATTTTCTAATGTGAACCAGTACTTTAAAACAAAATCACTACCGATCATGTCATTCTGTGTCAAGTCCAGATTATGCCATTGCCAGTCAGTCGCCGGCGACTGCTTTGAGTTGACCTATTATGTTGTGACAGCTATAAAAATAGGTTAGGACAGCTACCTCTTGCTTATTTCTACACTGTAGAAATATTTATATTACTGTAGAATCTACAGTAATACAAATTGTAAAGTATATTATGTAAACACAAGTTACATTTTAACAAATATTGATTTTTTACAATTTTAAACCAAACTCGACTCGAAACTGCCGAGTTCATAGATAAGCTCGAGTTTCAAGGCCGTACTCGACTCGAACTTGAAATCTCGAGTACTCGCACATCTCTAATATTTTGTCAAGACCTGCAAAATGATACCAAACTCGACTATACTAGCTATTTGAACATTTCGAGCTACCCCCTACCTCCGCTATCCCTAAGGACAAAATTATCAAAACAGACCATATTGTAGCCCTTCATATCCAAACAAGTTGCCGCAAACCAATTTTAAATATCTCAAATAGCCTAGTTAAAAAGTTAAAGGGGGTGCAAGTTAATTTTCAGCCACCCTCGTGGTTATTTGTACCCCCACTACCCCTAAGGGCAAAATTTTCAAAACTGACCATAACATAATTATTGTAGCCCTTCATACCTAAGAAGGTTGCCGCAAACAGATTTCAAATATCACAAATGGTTGAAAAGTTAAGGGGGGGGGGGTGCAAGTTACTTTTCAGCCTGTATTTTCAAAACTCAGTCAATTACCTGGGAATTTATGTAGATTGGCAACTTAATTGGCAAACATACATTAAAAATCTATCAAAGAGACTCAGATCAGCTATACTTGTTGAAGCAGATTACTTGTTGAATAATTTTACTATACTTGTAGAAAGATTAATGTAAAAGTGTGTAAGTATGATATGGTGGTGTGGACTGACTCAACTCACATGAACATTGAAGCAAGGGAGGTGGCCACACCACTGTCCCAGCTGGTAGAGCAGATTACTTGAACAATCCTCTGTTTGAACTCTGCTCCAGACATCTCAGCCCCAGCGTACTCTACCTCTCTGTGTGATTCCACCTCAGCCAACACCTTGGGTAGCAACTCCTTCCAACTGCATCACAACATAGAGCAGATTACTTTTACAGTACAACTCCAAACCGTTTGAATTGCCAATTATCTGTATTGCTTACAGAGAGAATAAAAAAAAAAATTAAACAACAATAATAAGAATCGGATCAAAGAAGGCAGAGGCAGAGGCCGTGGTAAAAAACTTAGGGCCGGTTGCTGAGCTCCGGATCTATAAGTTCTGGACTTATTGAGTCCAGGACTCAAATAAGCTCTCGGATCTAAATCGTCTTGCTGAGTGGCGGATCTATCTCTGAAACTCCAGGATCTATAAGTCCTGGACCTATTTGAGTCCAGAACTTAAAGCAATAAAAATTGAGGGAATCGTAGAGTATTTGGCGTTGTGATGTTGGCAGTGGGTGATAGCCGGCCATGCCGTGCCGTCTGCTCCCCACCTCGTAAACTAGAGATTAGTAAAATTTTAATATTAACTGTTATTATAATCAGTACCTGGGGACCGAGCTTTGCTCGGGGAAAATTATTACTTTACTCTGAAAAGTATTGCAGATACATTAATCCACTCCCAATCTCCACACTGCTAACCTTCACTACTTACTTCACCACTCCCTACGTCGTGGACCTGTTTGCCCTCCTTCCCTATACCATTTTAGAATTGCATATACATAAATGCCACAGACAGTTCCCACACTCTGCACTGCTAGCATTACTACTTCCTACACCATTTCCTACGTCATGGACCTGTTTTCCTCTCCTCCCTTCTCGTAGCATTTTAGGATTGTAGATACCTTAATGTAGTTCCCATAAACAGTTTCCAGGCTCCAGACTGCTCGCCTTTACTACTTCCTTCACCACTTCCTACGTCGCGGACCTGTTTCTCCCCCTTCCAATGGCATTTTAGGATTGCAGATACCCTAATCTAATCGTCATTAACAGTTCCAACACTCCGGGCTGCTTGCCTTTACTACTTCCTTCACCTCTTCCTACGTCGCAGACATGTTTCCCTCCATTCCCATAGCATTTTAGGATTGTAGATACCTTAATCTAATCGTCATAAACATTTCCCACACTCCGGACTGCTCACCTTTACTACTTCCTTCACCACTTCCTATGTCGCAGACCTCTTTCCCTCCATTCCCATTGCATTTTAGGATGTAGATTCCTTAATCTAATCGTCATAAACAGTTTTCACACTCCAGACTGCTCGCCTTTACTACTTCCTTCACCACTTCCTACGTCGCGGACCTCTTTCCATCCCTTCCCATAGGATTTTAGGATTGTAGATAACTTGTTTTAATCGTTATTAACAATTCCCACACTCCGGACTGCTCACCCTTGCTACTTCCTTCACCACTCCCTATGTCGTAGGCCTGTTTGCCCTCCTTCTTTATACTATTTTAAAATTGCAGATACATAAATGCCACAGACGGTTTCCACACTCTGCACTGCTAGCCTTACAACTTCCTTCCCCATTTCCTACGTCATGGACCTGTTTTCCTCCCTCCCATTACATTTTAGGATTGCAGATACCTTAATTTTATCGTCATAAACAGTTCCCACACTCCAGACTGCTCGCCTTTACTACTTCCTTCACCACTTCCTATGTCGTGGACCTGATTTCCTCCCTTTCCATAGCATTTAAGGATTGCAGATACCGTAATCTAATCGTCATAAACAGATCCCACACTCCACACTGCTACCCTTGACTATAGAATCTAGTAATCTTCAGTATAATCTTTGCTCAATAGTAACAACTGATGTTTTTCCTTTTGTACTGTGTTTTGTTTTGCTAGTATACTGTGGATAGACAAATTACAAGCTACAAGTCTTTTGTTTACTTTTTCCTTGTTATTTAATTCAGCCAACATGGTTACCTAGCAACCCATAAGACTAATGTTAAAAAAATGTGATTTTCAATTTCATTTTTCTACGTAATTAGATTTTTGATGGCAGTTCTAATTGCAGTAAACTCGTTTTTAGGCCAGAAATAAACTATATACAACATTTGAAGAAAATCGTCGGAGCCGTTTTCGAGATCTTGGTGCAAGCATACATACATACATACATACATCCATACATACATACATACAAGCAAACTTTGCTCGTATTAGAGTATAGGATTACTATCCTACATTATCATTCTTGTTTGGTTTAGGTGTATTTAAAAATATATGTATGATAAGGTCATGTTGAAAACTTCTGAGTTAAAAGTAAAAACAACTTGTTTGTTGTTTTTGAATTGCTTTTATATTTAACATTTTTACATGGTTCTTTATTTTTACATGCAGTATAGGCTAAAATTTATTTCAATATCATTCATTTGTAATTTTGGTTGTGAATAAAGTAAGTTGAAATACATTTTTATAAAAAAAAAAAAAAAAATTGTGTTGTACAAACTGCGTTAATAATTACTTAAACAAAGAGAACAAAAAATGACATTTTATGTTGTTATCTTCATATCCATTTTAGGAGCGCTGTGTCATCTTTATGCATGATTTTATACTTCATAAGTTATTTTATATTTTATAGGTTTTATAAGATGATTGTTTTCAATTAAAGTACCTAATACCAATTTATAATTAACGACAGTCCTCTCTTCTGAAAAATGCGTACCAAAGGTCAATGACGTAAAATATCAAGATGATGTTTGATTTATTCGAACAATCTTACATACCGGGTGTCCCATATAATAAATCCCCCTGAATAATGTTTGAACGCTGCATATATCCAAACGAGCATCGATACACGTTACTAGGGTAATATAAAGTACTTTTTGGTTGTATTTTGAATTTCACCCCCACCGCCCAAGTAGGGGTTACTGGGGATAAATTAAAATTTTTAAACGACAATCCTTATCAATTAGCACATAATTTTAAGGAGTTTTAATAAAGGAAATTAATTAATGCCACAAACTTTAATTTGACACGACAAATAAAAAAAAGTTATGGTAAGAAATGTTAGACGTTAATTTAACTTGAACTTTACATTCCTTCACGTTTATTTTTTCATGACTATATTTTTAAATAACCTTCAGTTCACGTGAGGGTGATGTCACGTTCATCACCCTACCCCAAATACGGGTTGCCGGTGGTGTTTTGATTTTTTTAATACCAGCCCCTATTTGGTATTTCAAATTCAAATATATATTTAAAGTCAAGTTAAAAGGTGCATTACATTACCCTGGTCACGTGTACTGAAGAGTATTTTAAAATTTAAAGTCATGAAAAAAGATAATAAAAGTGATGGAATTAATTAACATCTAACACATTTCTTGCCACAACTTTTAAAAAATTTGTCGTATCAAAGTCGAATTTGCAGCATTAATTTCCTTTTTTAAAGTTCTTTTCTTTTCTCAAAGTGAAAACGGTGTGCTACTTGATACGGGTTGCCTTTAAGAAAACTTAAGTTACCCATAGCAACCCCTATTTGGGGGTGGGGGGTGAATTTCAAAATACCACCAAAAGATACTTTTCATTGCCCTAGTAACGTGTATCGAAGCTCGTTTGAATATATGCAGCCGTTCAAAAATTAACCAGGGGAGTATTATAGGAACCCGGTATATACATTTTACATAATAGGTACGAAGCGCCATCGACATTGTTTAACACCCCAGGAAACATGCCTGCTATCGTCCTATTCCCCTTCAGGAAATTTAAATTATGCCCTTCATATCTTGCATTACCTTTGGTACCTTATGGATAACTCTACAAGCAGTAGACTATGACACAATAGAGAAGATCTCCAGTTTCCCTGTAAAAAGTCATGCCAGGAAAAAAAATTCGGAATGCTGTGTGGAGCTCTTTTATTATAAACCCTTATTCCTGGAGACAGTAAACGTAATATATTTTGAAAGATGAAATCATCCTGAAACTCTTCTTCAGATAACACGAGCAATGGGTTAAGTGCACGACCAAGATGTCTTGTCTTGGTCTACGTTGTGGTGCTTTAAAAATGGCAAAAATCCAAATTATTTTATGATAACGATGCGCACAAACCGACTTCAAAACCAAAACTGAGGCGTTTATACTCGGTTAAGTCTAGGATCTAGTTTTAAATCCTGCCCCTGGTGAGGATCTAAAATCGTAGTGTTTTAAGTTCTGGTCTTAACGGATTTTGCTAGATCCTTGTCTCAGCAAGAGACGAGAATCTAAATTAAGTTCTGGACTTATAGGTCTTTGACTCAGCAAGTCAATTTTAAAACTCCAGAGTCTAACCAGCCAAATAAACTCCGGAGTCTAATAAGTTCTGGACTTCGCTAACGCCCTATCTCAGCAAGCCATTTCTTAGACTCCAGAGTCTAAAGCCGGTTTAAGTCTAGAACTTAGCTGAATCCCGAGCTCAGCAACCGGCCCTAAACATCTCCTGTGGTTGGGTTGACATTATCATTTTCTCCCGCAGTTACAGAAACATCAACATCGTCGTTCCTGTTTGTGATTGTGGCAAAATCTTGTATATCTTCTACGGTTGTGTGGCCATCATCATTGTCTCCCACAGTCACAGAAACATCGTCATAGTTTTTGCGATTGGAAAAAATCTGGAACACCTTCTCTTTGTGGACTTCATTGTTTCCTGCGGTCACAGAAAATCATAATCGCCCTGCAAGACCGCAGCAAAAGTATGAATTTTTCAATAGCAGAACCATCACAGACGCGTTCTACAATCGTAAATGCTAGGCTAGACTTATAAAATTGAACCTACTTTTTTATAAAATACCCCGAATTTTGGTAAAAACACTATTATCTGTATTTTTAACATTAAAATGTGGTACAGTCTCGATTGATTCAGATAATTGGAGTTCCACTGTAGATAGAAGCCTATTGTGTATATTTAGAAAAAAGTCAGCTCTCTTTGGAATTTAAATGATATCCAACAAATTAATTAGGCCAAGGTAACAAGAATACATTGACTGAAGTGTAAATAGGCTAGTTAGGTTCACCATGTTTGGCTGTCTGCTGTAGAGGAGCGTATGAAATCAACACAGAGTTGAGCCACAGAGACGAGATGTGAGGTGGGAAACTTGCCCAGCTCCTGAGCAATCCTACTGGACAATGCGACTGAGCTGCGACTAGAGATGTCACATCCTTGGATCTCATTGATGATTGCTTCACACACCTGAAAAACAATATGTAAGCATCAACATTTACTGTAGACAACGAAAACAACATTATCAGAGAACTAAACTTGATTTATTTTATAATTCCATCGTGCTGCATTATGTAATATTGCTGATGTATCATCTGCATAAAGTTTAAGAGTTGAGGGTATATTTAAAGGTAATTCATTTATATATAAAAGGAAAAGCAGAGTCCCTAGTATTGAGCCTTGTGGTACACCAAGTTTAACCCTCTGCCATTTTGAGACGTGTTTAAAGCTGTTCTGAATTACTATCGTTCTTTGATACCGACTGTCCAAATATGATCTTATCCAGGACACCGCCGAGTCACTAAATCCATAATATTTAAGTTTTTCACAGAGAATATCATGCTCAATGCAATCAAATGCCTTGGATAGATCACAGAACAGTCCCATAGTGCTCTGTGATCCATCCAAAGCACCAACAACCTGTTCAACAAAATATGTAGGTACTCAATTTGGCATAGCTGTATCACATATAAGTTAACATAAGAAAATAGGTATTTGAGTTCATTTAAATAATAATCAAGTAATACACATTAGTGTAGCCAACTTTTTCTAACTGATTTTAGTTTACATCTGAATTCTCAATAATGAAAACTATTCACTGTAAGTAGCGCATAGTCAGACTAGATCCGAAAAACAAGACACTCTTGTCACAACAAAAAACATAATTTCCTTATTTTGGCCGATGACTCATTCTTTCACAATGTTGGATACCTGAGTGTGTTGGGCTGACAAATGCCGGATTATTGAGAGTCAACTAGATGATACAGATTTAAGTTACTTGGGGTGTGCAAGTGCTTGATTGAATTCAGTACTCGGCTCACCTCAAGCTTTTTTAAAAAATTTGAAGAGTTCAAATTTACTGCTGGAGTTTGCAGTATGTATGGAAGAATTAAGTCACTATGGGTCAGCCGCTTAGAAAGCGTCCTCCTCGTAGCATTGGTGCGAGAGAGAGATACCGAGCTGTGGGAGTGAGACAGAATATGGCTCTTCCCCCACTCCGCTGCCACCCCAGCCCCACCCTTTATTTTATTTTACCTTTTATTTTACCAAATCATATGTTTTCTTTGATTTTCCAAAGACTTTCGAATGACAATCATTAGGAATCAGCAAATATTGAATATATAACACTATTATTAAGTTTTATTTATCCAAAATAGCGTTGTATTCAACATTGAATGAATATACTGTAGTAGTATTATACAATATAACACGACTACAGTTATATGGTACTATTTAACCGAAAAACAGTAAAGCAGTAAATACTTGATTGGCTGATTGGAGGGGTGGGGGATGTGCGTGCACAAACCTTCTTTTATACGCCTTGCCATCCCGGGTCCAGAGGTATTACCATGAGTACTACGGTGATAACTTATACAGTATATAGGAAATTCACTAAAAGGCCGTTACTAAGATGTGTGATCGTTACTTGCGATGGTGGCAACGCCATTATAATTGCAGTCACGTTATTTGCGTCTTACACAATCGTGGCAACATCCGCGATAATCTCCTGCGATTATCTCAGCTTCCATGACTCTTTGTTATTGCGGCCATATCTTAATCGCGGCGAGATCCGTGATGATTGTCCGTATTGCGGCAACAGCCGTTGCGGTGGGTCCTGTATTCGTGATTGTTTGCTATGGTCATGATTTTCCACTTCGCAAAACGAGAGAGGCCATTCAGTAAGCGTCTAGTAAATTTTTGAAGTGATACCATTTCTTGTAATGATAGAGCAGTGGTTGTATGAGGTACACGCGGTTGTTATCCAGTCGCTTTAAAAAAGTAGTAAATCAGTCATTATTGCAACCATAGATAAATCATACTCCCTTAGTAGATTTGTCATCCTTATGGAACAGCTGAAGCCAAATAGCGAATTTCCCTATAGGGAAGTAGCTATTACCGTAGGTGGCATGGTAAGACCTAGGCCCGGGACTGATTTACTTTTTCATTTTGATGTCCCCAGAGGGCAAAAACACCATTCGTTCAAATTTTTATATATAGATTTATATATATATATATGTGTGTGTGTGTCCGTGAACGCGATAACTTGAGTAATTTTTGTCCAATTTTGATGAAATTTAGATTGAAGGTGTAAAGCGGGATAAACTAGAATGAGTTCGCAAACCAGCATGATCGGACTATGGGAACGGGGGTTTATGGGGTAAAAATAGGATTTTCCCATTTTTGACCCTAAAAACACAAAATTTCACAATTTCTTTCTAAACCATTTTGTAGAGCTTAAAAAACAAATAATTTAGTATATTGAAGCGTCATTATGCGCCTAATGGTTACAAGAAAAATTCAAAAAAGTTGTAATTTTAAAATTCCTATGTTATTCTTATTGAGAATAAGTCAACTGTTGTAGTTTGCTTGTTTATGAACATATTTTGATCAAATTTGGAAAATACGTTAATTTTTTACTAAACTACAGTACCTTTTAACATTTTACATTAAAAAAACACAATTTTTTACCCTTCCTTGTTTCAGCAAACCTACTCGTTAAACTAATTCTATTTAAATAGGGAATAAATGTGATATTGTTAAGGTGACATTTTAGTGTAAATCCAATCAGGCAAATGGAAATTTGCTAAGTCTGCAGGCTTGCTGCGGCGAAGGTATTTTATTGTTAGTTCTGTACGTCCAACTGTAGAGGTTATGTTTTGTTTACAATTTGTTTCTTAATATTTCAGTAATTTAAAACCTCATTTAACCAAATAAAACGATTTAATCATAAAACTTAACTAATCTCCTAGTTATATAACCATATAGTAAAGCACAAATCATGAAAATAACCCTAAAATAATAGAAACAAAATGTTGTCTACCCCAGCGATCAGTGTGGACGTACATGAACTAGACACGAAAAACTAAGCTTCAATATTTACAATGGGATGAGGAGTCTACTTGTTTTGCTTAGGCCCCGTTTATGCACCAAGAGCGGGAGCGGGGCGATAGCGTGCCCGCTCCGCTGTGAAAATTTTGTCAAAATTGTGCAAGCGATAGCGGTAGCGGTTGGTCAACGGAGAATGGAAGGGGGACACAGTCTTGCCAACTGAAACTCTGTCAAATAATTAACACAACTGTTTGTCCTAAGTGCACGTGCGCGTGGGTCAAGTTGGCAACCCTGGCTGCAGCCGCTCCCGCCGTGCATAAACAGACTCATTTGACTCAATGTAGTTGAAAACCGCTCTATTCCAAGCGATTTCTAACTACACAGCGGTCAAATTAGAAACCGCAGCGGGAGGTCAACCGCTACCGCTATCGCTCTTCGTGCATAAACAGCCCCATTTAACTCAATGGTGTTGAAAATCGCTCCCGCTGTCGCTACCGCTCCCGCTCTTGGTGCATAAACGGGGCCTAAGTCTATGTTGCAACTTAGTGGCAGGCAGTTCCGTGCTTTTATTTATTAATTCGGCATGGAGAGGTTCCGTCGTGATTATCTGTATGGATAACAACATTAAAAAGATTATTATTCTAACTAATCTGTAGGGATGAAAATTAACCTAAAAATTCGTGTAACTGAGCAGTCAGACATGTTCGGCAAGCCGCTTGTTTTCAGGCGGGCCTGCGAGGACTGTTTTCCACGGCAGTACGAACTCTGTCGAATGTTCGTTGTTTGGCATCCAATATGACTTTGGTCGGCCTTTCAGCTTCCTTTTCAACGCAGAAGCCGTTGTTCTACCACCACATTAGTAACCCACCACATTATTGTTATACGCAACGGAACTTCTCCATGTCGCCTTAATTGAAAGAATGCACAAAACTACTTATGCTGCTGAGTTGCAATGAATGATTTCAATACTTTTTCAAAACAACTCCATAACAACCGCACGTAGCTCAGGCGACCACTGCTCTGTGACTAGAAAAAATGGCATTGTGTAAGCTTTCCAACGAGCCTACTCCCACCACTTTCAGGCAACCTGTCGCTGAAGAGTGCTCTGCAGAAAATGGATCGGTTTTTGCCGCACCCTGTACTGTATAACACTCTGACTATATTCAATATTGAATACAACACTATATTGGATATAAAACGCTAAATGGTGTTGTATATTCAATGCTAATTCGTAATGATTGTCATTCGAAAGTCTTTGGGAAATTACAAGAAAACATATGATTTGGTAAAATAAAACAAGTTCAGCTTGCACGTGACGTCACTATGCACACACCTTGTGAAAACGGCCATTGGCGGAGAGGGGGAACGTACCCTCCCTCACCGTTACCTCCCCTACATGCGCTAAAAATTTAGCGCAGGTCGTTTTCTAAACGGCCGACCTATAGCTTTACACTTACAAGTTATTTTTACACTCTTATAGTCAATTGACCTTATAACGTACTGAAATAAAGTTCTTAAAACTGATAGTAGAGATATACATTTCTTGGTTTTTATACCGCAACAGGCAATTACTTAAATGCACTAATTCAAAAGACAAAGGCAGCTTCCTAGGTCTTATGAATAGATTACATAATAAAATTTTGATTGTTTTAGACAAAAAACAAATTAAACAGATTGTGTTTTGACCTCTGACGACCTCCAAATTAAAAAGTGTATCAGTCCCAAGGCTAGGTCTTACCACGAGACCTACGGTAATAGCTTATTCCCGATATATGGGACATTAGCTAAAATGTATACATGAATGTAACAATAATATGAACCAACAGTTATATGAGGTAACATTTGGACGACCCAACTGAGCTATACAAGAAGTAAATTAAATTTTGCTATGTATTGTATTGTATGTATTGTGGTACTATGTTTGTGTGTCTTAAATGCTACTTTATAGAGAACAGACAAAGATCTCTCATGGTACTGATAAATAAGGTGTCTCAGTATGTTTTTTTTCCACATAAAGATGCAATCACTGATAAGATAAAGTGTTATGGTAGTAAACAGAAAAATACATCCAGAATATACATAGCTTTTTAAATTGTCTCATTTAAATAAAAAAAAAACCTTAGTTTGAATCTGTTGTAAAA